AGGTGAAGGGAAGAGAATTTCCAGCCTGCACAAGCCGGAGCCACTCACCTGCAGGCGACACGGAATGCGCTCACAGCTCCGGACGTTTCTCAGCTCCAAACAGCCTTGTGCTGGGGCGGCCCCGCCTGTCGGGGACAGTTGTTCCCCGTTCCTCAGGTGAAGTGAGCTCCGACAGGTTCTGGGACCCAGCAAAGGGGCTGTCCTGACCGGGGTCGACCTCCCACGGGCACAGACTCCTCCTCTGGCTTCACCAAAACAGAAGTCTGTGTGCCCGATGCGCAGTGAGGCCAAAAAAATACCCAAACAGCTAAGGATTGGGTAGAAAAAAGTTTACTGCAAGGCCGAGCAAGGAGAACACGCAGCTCCCAGCCGGAAGACGCCGAACTAACTCCCAGAGGGGGTTCAGCTGAGCCTTGTTAAAGGCTGCGGGGGCGGGCGTCCCAGGGTCTGGGATCAGCTGTGCACAATTCTCTGACGGGTTGATGGTGCTGGGCCCTTAGGCACCAACAGGTCCGGGGGCTCCGTGCTCATGACCATTGAGGAGTTAACTGCTTCCATTTGGAGGTGGTTTTAAGCATCTGAAAAACTTGGGGAAAATACCTGAGATACCATTACCTGGGTCCTGCAGAGAGGAGCCACAGCAGAGGATCTGGGGGAGGGGTCGTCCCGGGAAGGCCCCCCAGGGTCCTGCTCGGTTACAACCTGAGGTTATACCTGCACAGTTGCCCTGGCCTCCCTGCAGACCTGCTACGTTTGTTATCTCTGGTGGTTGGAACCCATGTTTTGTAAAAAACAATGCCGCAGTTGATTCTAATACACTGATGTTTGAGAGATTATCCAGAACATCCTATTTTCCTTAATGGGCTCACCTTTATCATTATTTATGTGTAAATTGTAAATACAACTCCGAGCTGTTAAGAGTATTTTTTCATAAATTTATTAAGTCAAACTTGGTTCAAATTTAAATATTTATTAAGCAAACTATCTTTGGATTAATTTACATGATATTTGTGCATCGGAAATAAACTACTATTCATATGTGACATAATTAAGTTCCTTCTCACTGAATTATTCCACCTGGCCTGTGTTTTATTTACAGGTTGCTCAGGGTGAATTACACTGATGCCAACGTGATTTTTGGATCAGCAATACGGTACTGTAACAGATTCATATTTAGGTTTTCCTTTTAGTGGGAATGACAATAGATCATCTATAAATACAAATTTTAGTGAAGCACATCAAAGCCTAGCTATGTACTCTATCAAACAGTTAACGTTAGGACCAACAGAACATAGCAGTTCTTACATTTAAGCTGAGAACGTGGCCTCTTCAACAGGATGAGAAACAGGAGATTCAGAGAGGACCCGCTGTTTCCTCTGTAAAGAAGCAGGCCGAGTGCTGGAGTCCCTGTGCACAGCATGAATTTCTCCCAGGTTCCTGACGTGACTGGCTCTCAACGTTAGGAAAACTGGAAGCTTCTGAAAGTGGCCGATGCCTCAGACCCACCCCAGACTGGTTGAATCAGAATCTCTAGTGGTGAGTCTACACTGTTGGCTGGAGGCTTGGTACGTACCACCACTCAAAACAGCCAGACAACATCTGGGGCTTCCTCTCTGAAATGAACACAGGTAAGGTCAGGAGTGCTGCGGAGGCGGTGCTGTGACAGGAAGGAGCTGGGCAGGCTCCTGCCCACGCTGAGCCGTGGGATCCAAATGTAAGTGATTCAGCGAAATGAATTCATGTGGTGGCTAAATGTCTAATTAGATGATTCAGTGGAGAAAGATTTAAGATTAACCAGCCCCCACAGTTCTCCATTTGTGTTCTTTTGAAGTTTTAAAATGTGATAAC